AAAATTGCAACCCATCCTAATTATCTCACCAGAACTCCCCAACTCCTTAACTTTTCTTTTTTCCATAGCACCTACCATCTTCTAACATGATATATTTTATTTCTTTTTATGGGGTTTTTTGTTTGCCTTCTCCCTCTAGAGCAGCGGTTCTCAACCTTCCTAATGCCGCGACCCCTTAACCTCCCTGGCGGTCTGACTATGTCAGTAATTTTGTACCCAAAGCGGTACATTGTTTTGCATGGAAATTTGTTGTTTTATATTGTAGGCCGGTAATTCTTAGGAATTACTCACTTAAATCTGTCCAAACAAGAGTCTAGTAGGCATCCCAGGTATGATAAAGTTTGAAACACAAAATCATAAATTATAATATAATAATTATAAAAGACAATATAATTTTATTCAATAATGTAATCAAATCAAAAACACTGCAATTTGTCATCGGCCGGTGTTCTCGTCGGCGATCACAGGAGGACACCGCAAGATCGCAGGGAGCAGGTAAGGGACATCTCTGGGACACTGCAGTGTAATTCCTAGTGTGGCTCGGGGTTACCGCTTTCTGGCAGTGACAATTAACCCCGAGGGTGGCTCGGGATTACTGCTTCTGGCAGTGAAAATTAACCCCGAGCAACACTTGGGGTTACCGCCAGGGTAGTTAATGCAGTTCCTCATGTTGTGGTGACCCCCAACCATAAAATTATTTTCGTTGCTACTCTATAACTGTAATTTAGCTACTGTTATGAATCGTAATGTAAATATCTTCTTGTTTTCCGATGGTCTTAGGCGACCCCTGTGAAAGGGTCGTTCGACCCCCAAAGGGGTCGCGATCCACAGGTTGAGAACCGCTGCTCTAGAATGTAAGCTCCCTTTAGGACAGGCTCTTTGTTTTTTCCTCTATTATTTCCCAAGTTCCTAAAACAGTTTCTGGGGCATAGTAGGTGATCAAGGAGTGTTTCTTCAACAAATGAATGCATCTCAGGAGGCACAAAAGGAGCTAAGCAATAATATACACATCCCCAAATTCACTCCTATAACCACTGATGGTAGGGAGGGACTAAGGTAGAAACCACCTAGGCAAAGGAGCAGCAGGGGATGGGGACTTAAGGGTCTTTCTGATACCAGCTTTCCGGGCCACATCTCAGTCTACCCTTAGCAATTACCGAATGCTCTCACTATTGAGTTGTTGGCATTCAGAATTTAATATTAACCATAAAAATATGTTCCATGACTATAAAATACACCTTCGATAGAGTAAGTCCAATCTAAAAATCTACTGTTCTTAACCCGTAATCTACCAAGATCAATGAAGTCGGGATCCTCTGAGTTGGGAAATATTTTAACAGAAGATGATATTAAACAAATGAACATGTCATTAGGACTACCTCTTAGGGATCAGGTGATACCCACAACCTAACAATGTGAGGTCATCTACCAGATGATTAACACTGAAGAATGTAGGTCAACTTCTGGGTAAAATCCAGAAGCTGCTCAAACCATCCAAAGGCAACTGCACATGACACTACTCACTTCCTGAACTGAGGTTTGGAACTACTTTGTGACTTCATAAATAGTTGCCCAACTATACCACAGATGGTAAAGGTTTCATTAATGTAGGACTTTGCAAACAATGTCAAACCATAGCCAGCACTAAGAAATTAATCTATTTCCTCTAAAAGAATTAATTTTATCAATTGACAAGTATGAGGGCCTTGCAGGTACTGTGGACTTTTTCCCATTTGTTTTCTCATACTACTCAGAGGAAATTTACCAGAGGAAATTCTTCTGAGTGACAAAGCTTGGAAATATTCTTCAATACTGATATTTACTCCATTCAACAATTACTAACAAGTGCCTACAAGTACTGTGAAAGGTACTGGGAACGAGACAGGTTTCTCCATTGAGTTCAGTTTAAGGGAGAAGAGAGATGCTGACAAAGTAACTACAAGTGAAATGAGTGACACAGAGAGGTGCAGAGTGCCCCTGATGGGGGGGTGGGGAGACCTGAGGTTGAGGAGACAGAAGCCAGATCATTGAAGGCCCTACATCCATGCTAAGGACTTTACAGACTCGAGCCTCGGGGCCATGGGAAACTTTTGAAAGGTTTTAAGGAGAGTAGTAGGTTTTTTGTTTTTAAAAATATCAATTCAGCTTTAGTTTAGAGAATGGGCAGCGAGAATGAATTTGGAGAGGCCAATGTAGCAAGAAATTTTCCTTGAAGGATGATGGTGGTTGTTAGGATGGAGAGAAAAGGGCAGAATAAAGAGAATACTTAGGAAATACAATTGGCAAGAGATAGTGGCTGATGGGCCGGCCAAGTGGCTCAGCTGGTTAAGAGCTTGCTTGGAAGCGCCAGCTCTGAGCAGCAGGGCCCCATTCGGATCCCACATGA